TGTGTCTACTTGTAACTGCAGTAATATTATTTTGGACCATTTAAATTTCTCTTGCAACCTAGTTCTATGATTGGATTACTGAATTATCTAAAATCCAAATTATTACCATTTAAACCTGCTTTTTAGATGCCTGATTGGGGCAGGGTTCGCTAGAGAGAAAGTGTCAATAAAAGATAGATATAGAGATATAGAGAAAAATACAGATATGTGGGAGGGCATTTTTTAGGAAACTTGGCTCATGTGATTATGGAGGCTGAGAAATCCCATGACAGGTTACCTGTGAGCTGGAGACTCTAGGATGCTGATAGCATGGCTCATGCCAAGTCTGAAATTCTCAGAACCAAGGGAGCTGATGGTGTAATTCTCAGTCCAAAGTCAAAGGCCTGAGAACCCAGATGGCCCTTGGCTCAAGTCCCAAAGTCCAAACACCAGACAGCCAGGGGTTCTGATGTCCAAGGACAGAAGAAGAGTGTTCCAATTCCAGGAAAGAGAGAGAGAGAATTTGCCTTTCCTCTGCTTTTTGTTCCACTGTATTCCCAGCTGACTGAATGGTTCCTACCCACATTGAGGGTAGATCTTCCCTACTCAATCCACTGAGTCACATGTCCATCTCCCTCTGGAAGCACCCTCACAGACACACTCAAAAGTAAAGCTCTACCAGTTGTCTAGATATTCCTTAATCCAGTCAATTTGACACCTAAAATAAAGTATTAGATTGATTCACTTCCAGGATCCTCTATCCTAGTTCTCAAACATGATATGGGAATTCCAAGGCAGTCTCTGATATACTTTTAAGGGGACCACAATAATGAAACACTATTTTTCGTTTTGCGTCTCATTATTTCGCTAGGGTGTGGTAAAGTTCTTAAGCCTATATGACCTATGATATCCTAATAGATTTAATACAAAAGGAGATATGAGAATCTGGCTATATTCTTTCAAAATAGATATTAGTTTGGAAAAAGTGAAACAATGTCACACTTCTCAATACACTTATTTGGACCAAACAGTTATTTTTTTTAATAAAACATGCAATTTATATTAACCTATAATTGATTTATTAATGTTATGTCAATATAAATTAATAAATACATTAAAAATATCTTAGTTACAATCTCAAATGCAATAAATATTAACAAATATTATCTTAAATGAACAAAAGCTTTGGAGTACTCAATAATTTAATTTTAAGTGTTTAAAGGCATCCTGAGACAAGGAAGCTTGAAACCACTGCTGTTCACATTGAACCCATACCCTCAGGTAGACTTGGTCCAGTACACACCTCCACAGTCAGGACTGTTACCCTTAAGCTATACTCAATGACTGAGGACAGACCCCTGAATCTTGCAGAGACATTTGAACCAAACCAGAGTCACATGTATCCATGTCCTTCATTTTTCTTTCTTCTAGGTCTAGGCCTCTGGTTGTATAGTCTAGTAACCTTGGGGGCTGGGTGGAAATAGGCCATCATTTTCTGGGACCCTTAACTGTCATGGTGAGGCTTAACCATGACCCAGACCTTGGTCTGCTTTCAGCTCTCTGGTCCTACTTTCTCTATCTCTGACCTCCATTTGTGGTTTCCTCTACCCTCAGAAAGTTCTGTGGTTCCCTCCTTCTTCTTATATCCTGGTGCACCTGTGTCTTGTCCCAAACAACAGCATCTGGTGCCAACTGGAGTATCGAACTCAGTGGGTTACCCTGATGTTAAACAGCATGTTTGCTGTCTATTACCTTCTCACACTTTCTCCTTGGCTGGGAACTGTTTAACAGCACTAGGTTCCTAAAACAATTCTGTCCTGCAATTATATGCAAAGATCCTACAAAGGCCTTAGCCTAGTGAGGGGAAGAATTGGGGTTGAGGTATGAAGAGGGTATGAAAGAAGAAGTTGGAAAATGTTCTCCTATGGGACTGAGAGAAGAAGGATCTGTTTTTCAACAAGAGGTGCAGTATGGCCAGGGCTTCTCACATGAATGTGAGACCAGCGAATTGGTCCTGTGCACTGTGGTGGATTTCCTCCCTGTAAAGGATCAGGCCCTCCTCAGGTACTGTGACTCCATTGGCTCCTACGAGGGCTGGGCAGATGAAGAGTGGGCTGTCATCAGATCCCAGCCTGAAGAAGGGTCTCAGAGGCCCGGAAAAATCGATATGGGGACATGTGTAGATGTGTGATCTGTCCCTCATGTTGTAGAAGGAAACATCTCCAGCCTCATAGTCCAGGAAGACACCCACTCGGCGAAGGCGCTCTCTCAGAGGGAGAATCCTCTCAGGGGAGGACAGGGCCCGGTACTGGTTTCCAAACATCTCCAGGGTCCAGAAGCCATTCTGAGGAAGCAGAAGGTCTTCCCCTTTCCTTTCAACACTGTCTCTACAAATCCCCACAGTCCACACCATCACGTCTTCCACTTCCACCTCCCAGTAATGCTTCCCTGTGACGAAGCTCTCTCGGCCCAGGACACAAGGCCTACAGCTGAATCTCTCTGGGTTGTCTGGCACGCTCTGCCGGAAGGGGCCTCGTCTCACACTTCTCTGGTCCTCTGACAGGAAAAGCTCCGGATGAGCAGTGTCTGGATCCAGGACCACATCCGCTGCAGGGGAAGTCTCAGGTTTAGGTCTTAAACCCTGGAGATTGTGTGATTCCTGGTCCCTAGAGAGGTCTCAGAGAGTTGGTGGGGCATCTCCATGTGGTGATCTTTCCCATGAAAGCCCCTTGAATCCAGGCAACTCTAAGAATTACTGAGGCTGTAATTCTGTCTCCCTGACAGGAGCAGTGCCCTCGAGTTGAGAAGAAGTGGGGCCCTAAGAAATCCAGAAAGCAGCTGGGCTCGGTGGCTCAGCCTGTAATCCTGCACCTTCGGGAGGCTGAGGTGAGTGGATTGCTTGAGCCTGTGGGTTTGAGACTCTCCTGGGCAACTTGGAGAGAACTCATCTCTACAATAAATCAAAAATTAGCCAGGTGTGGTAGTGCTCGCCTGTAGTTCCAGCTACTTGGAAGGCTGAGGTGGAAGGATCGCCGGAGCCGAACAGGTTGAGGCTGCGGTGGCCGGGAGTGGCCACTGCACTCCAGCCTGGGCGACAGAGTGAAACTCCAACTCAAAAAAAAAAAAAAAAAAAAAGGAAATCCAGAAAGCTTGGCAAATGAGTCAAAATTAAGGGTTCCCACTTTTTCTCAGCATTCTAAGATCAGCCCCCTTTCCTAGTTAAGGCTGTCATCTCTGGGACTCTTGTTAGTTACAAACTTTATAATTTGGCTTAAACTTTATAAAGCAATGAGGCTTTATCTCCTGCTGCGTCCCCCTCCCCAGCACCTCCCTCAAGTAATCAATTAAGGTGAGTGTTGCACTATACAGTATCTGGGTGGTAAGGTGTCTCTTAATTGGTCCCCTAATTCCTTTAACCAGGTGACAACTAATATAAGTGACTAACAAGGGTATCTTTCAAGGAGCAAAGAAGGAAGAAAAATGTCCCCCCAAGTCAACCTGCTGCCTGAGAAGTGTGTGTGGGAAAAGACAGGGAGAAAATTTTTCCATCCACATTTGCTTCAACAACATGCATCTGACATCTACAGTTATGACCTCTCTGGATACAGGAAGTGCTCCAGACCCCGGACATTCTGCAGACCTCTCCCATCTACATTTATTATTACGTATTCAGTCTATCTTTCTATTGTGTTAAAATGATTTCCTCCTTTTCACAAGCTAATATGTCTGATTGTGATAACCTGTGACTGTGTCCCAAGTTGATAGTGACAATTTTGAAATTCACTTGCAGAGGAAAGGTCCATGTGCCACTAAATCTGGTAAAGCTAATTTCTTTGGTGCTCCTGTTGGAAGGTGGCTGATCATAAAATGTGAAGTGCTCATTGGAAGTAGAGAGTTGAATCTGTGCTTTTCCACTTGCCTGACCCCCATTCCCTGGCAGACTTTACCCAGAGTATCAGTGCTCTCTTAGAAGCCGAAAGGCATTTCTGGCCACCTCTTTGTACACCCCTGCATCAGGCTTATTGGGGAAACTTATTGCCCTTTTTCCACATGAATCTTCAACTGTGCAGTCTACACCAGCAGTCCCTTTTGGTCCTTTTTGGAATCAGGGACCAGTTTCATGGAAGACGATTTTTCCATGGACTGGAGAAGGGTGGGGGAAAGATGATTTGGGGATGTCTCAAGCACATAATATTTATTGTGTACTTTATTTCTATTTATTTATTTATTTCTATTATTATTACATTGTAATATATAATGAAATAATTATACAATTCACCATTAAAAAAAGAGGCATGGATGGAAGTAGTAAATAAAATAATGGGCAGACTTCACATGGACTAAAATAAATGTAGGATTTTGACTTAAAGTCTGCCACCAGATGCAACTGTACAATTGAAGTACATCAACTCATTTGCCACTCACTGATAGGGTTTTGTATGAGTTGTCAAGCAATTGATTTATTGTAGTTGCTGTACAGTCAAACCTCACTGCTAATGTTAATCTGTATTTACAGCTGCTCTCCAGTGCTAATATCGCTGTCTCAGCTCTGCCTCAGATTATCAGGCATTAGATTCTATTAAGAAGTGCACAACCTAGATCCCTCATATGCACAGTTCACAATAGGGTTTGAGCTCCTATGAGAATCTATTGCCACTGCTGATCTGACAGGAGGCAGAGCTCAGGTGGTAATGCAAGCAATGGGGACTGGCTGTAAATACAGATGAAGCTTCACTTGCTCACCTACCACTCACCTCCTGCTGTGTGACCAGGTTCCTAACATGCCATAAATTGGTATCAGTTCCTGGCCCAGGGGTTGGGGACCCCTGGTCTACACCATCCACAGGTTATAAACAGCTTACAAACTGATCCAGGATCCAAGAGCAACACCTACTGAAATGTAATTCTCGGGGAGGTCTATTATGTATGACAGAGCTCTGGTAATCTATTAAATTTTTCTAAAAGAGAAGGAATTGGAGATCATAAACTGTAGGGTTAATTAAGAGCTGCTGGAATTCTCTGACACTTCTGTGTTACAGTGCATCATTGGCGGGACATTGGTAATGAATCCCAGCCCCCGATGTTCTTGCCCAGCCTTGGGCCTCTTACTCATCGCCTCTTAAGAGTCCTTTTGGCTGGCTAGTGGGAAGAAAGTTCACATAGTCAGAGGCACTCACCAGCATGTAAGAGTGTCCTTCTCCATTCTGCAAGGGACAGATAGAGAGGTGAATGTCATGAGATAATGGCCAATGAGCAGAACACAAGTTGGGTGTGGAGTTTGTTCAGGAGAGGGTAAACTTACGCAATTCTTCTTGAAGTTGCTCTGAAAAAGAAACAGAAACAAAATATGTCCTCAGTAGAAAAACTAAGAGAAGGTGTGTGTGCTACATAATGCAGAACACGTCCCTTCTATGAACACCACCGTCCCTCTTCCTCATGCCTAGGGAAGAGTCAGAAATCAGAAATGGTATATGATCAGGTACATGACTGGGTAGTATCAGTACATCTCTGTTGCTTTGTGCAACAATTTGAAGCTTTATATAGCTAGACAAATGAATGAAACGTTTGCCGAATGGAGGACAAGAAGCTTGGAGAGATTAACTTCTAGGACGTGAAAGCTCCAACCCTTTGCTGCTGCTGCGGCTATGCATTTCCTTTCTTGCTTCCCCAGGTTGCTGCCTATCGGAGCTGTGCCCTTTCTATGGCAGTGAACTGTCCTATTCTTTTATCTTTTATTTGAAGTTATTTCTCTTTTTCCACACATTCTTTATCTGGTTCCTTACGTGCAATTTTTTTCTCTTCCTGTTCAAATTCCTTTTCCCCTGAGAGAATCCGTTTTTCCCTTTGGAGTTTCTTGATCCAGTAGAAGCTCACAGACATCAAGATGGTCAGAATAGCCAAAAAGACAGCCAAGGCCACCAACCAGGGATATATGGCCAGAATGACAGCCAGTGCCACCATCCAGGGAGATGTGCTTGGTGTAAAGGATTCTAAAAAGAAAGCAAGAAAAGTTTGCTCAGGAAACCCGATGTAAAAGTGTTCCTAAGGAGTACATATGATGAAGTCCCTCAGGTTCCTGCTTTGTGGGCTTCTTCTCCCTCAGAAAGTACAGAGTGAGGAAAAATACTGTGACTCAGTATCAGTGAGCCTCAGTAACAGACAGGGCCAGGGGCCAGGAAGTAGAAAGGCAGAAATACCTATAGTCACTATGGGAAGGACCAGGGTGACTAGAGGGTGACTAGAGTCACCAGCCATGCTGAATCAGCACAGCTACCAGCCTGGTTCAAGCCATCACCACTCTCCAACTGAAATACTGCAAAATCCTCCACCTTGCTGTCCTTACCCTCTGCAATTCATTAGAGCAGCCCAAGCGAGATGGTGTGATTATTTGCTGAAAACCCTCAGTGCTTCCCATTTGACTCAGACAAAAAGCCATCTGTTGTGGCCTAAGCTGCACCACATAATGTGGTCTCATTACCTATGTGAATTGATTTCCTCTCACTCTGGACACTCACTCCATTTCTAACACACCATTGTCAGTCACCTCTTGGGATTCCTCGAAACTGCCGGGCACACTCCTTCCTCAGGCCTTTTGCATTTGCTATTCCTGTTACCTGGGTTGCTCAGTCCTCAAGCATCATCTTGGCTCTTTGCCTTGATTGCTCAATTCCCATCTTTACAGTGAAGTCATTCTTGACTATCCTGTTAATAATCACGATGCATCTACCCTGGCTCTCCTTGCTTAATTTTTCCTACAGATGTTCTTCAACATCTGATATCATATACAGATAATGAATTATTTAACCACTTGTTTTAATTAATCATTTATTTATTGCTCTCTCTTTTTCTAGAATGAGAATTCCATGAAGGCAGAGATCTTCATATGTCTTCGTTTTTTTTTAATCAATATTTTTTTATTTTAATATTGTGGGGTACAGTTAAGGGTTAGGTATACAAATATGCTTCGTTCATGCACCCTTGTTAATAAGGGGTGTCTCCCCTTCCCCAGACAGATATTGACTACCCTTAATACCATCTCCCTCATATGTCTTTTTCTTTTCTTTTCTTTTTTGAGTTGGTGTCTCATTCTATCCCCCAGGCTGGAGTGCAGTGGCATGCTCATAGCCACTACAGCCTCGACCTGCTGGGCACAGACAGTCCTTCCGCCTCAGCCTTCTTGGTAGCTGAAACTACAGGCATGCCACCACACCCGGCTAATTTGTTGATTTACTGTAGAGATGAGGGCTCTCCAAGTTGTCCAGACTGGTCTCGAACTCCTGAGTTCAGGTAATCTTGCCTCTGCCTCCCAAAGTGCTGGGATTACAAGCATGAGCCACTGTGCCCGACCATATGTCTTTTTCAATGATTTACCCTCAGGTCTAGAGAGAGCACTGTCTTGAACATAGGAAATGATTGTTGAGGATTTGTTGAATAAACTATGAAAGTGTGAAGATAGGGAATTTCTCCAGCTCTGTCCCTTGGGAAATCCCATGGGCAGGAAGGGAGGGCTTCAACAGACTACCTATACCACCCATCCCAACCACTCTCCGTATTTTATGATTGTTCTTAATGTTTATAAATTGCTGCAGCACAAGGACCTAATCAGGAAAAGTAAGATCAGATTGACTGGGTGAAGTGGCTCATGCCTGTAACCCCAGCACTTTGGGAGGCTGAGGCAGTATTGCTTGAGTCCAGGAGTTTGAGACCAGCCTAGGCAGCATAGCGAGAGCTCCTTTCTAGAAAAAAATAAAATAATTAATTAGCCATGTGGTGGCATGTGCCTGTATCCCAGCTACCTAGGAAGGCTGAGGTGGAAGACTGCCTGAGCCCAGGAGATTAAGGCTGTGGTGAGCCATGATCCTACCACTGCACTCCAGCCTAGGTGACAGAGTAAGACCCTGACTCAAAAAAATAAAAATAAAAAATAAGATTTACCCTCAGAGAAAAGGCCCCTATTCATGTGTTTGAGACTTTTTGATTTCCCCTTTGTGATAGGGGAGAGGCCTCAGCTCAGTCGCAGCTTTCAGCTCCTCAGGGTCCACCTCCCCCCACCCCCATCCCCTCTCTGGGTTCCATCTATGTGCTGAGGATCCTGCTTCCACACAATGGGTCTCCAGAGGGCAGGGAACTAACCTGGAATGAAAATCACAGTTTCCTTCTCCTGGCCCAGGAGGGTGTTGTTGACAGAGCAGGACATATTTCTCACAGAGTCATCCCTGATGATCACAGCCACAGTGACCAGAAAGAGGCCATCTGCATCAGCAGTGTAAGTCTCCTCCAGGGATGGCACGACCTCACCATAGGGGTCTTTCCATATCGCGAGGGGCTCTGGGTACCACCCTCCAGATGTGCATTCCAGTCGAATGCCCCCATCCTCATGGCCCTTCATTTCAATGAGGGGATTAGAGCCCAGGCCTGGAGAGGGAGAGCAGGACTCAGCTAAAAAGGCAGTGGTGAGTGGTGTCTCAGTCCCTACTGCATCTCTTCTGTGAAAAAAGGAAGAAATAATCTTGATGTAGGAGAACACCAAGAGACTTATACAACAAATAAATTGTGAGATCTCTAAGAGGAAAGGGCCATGTTGCACACTTTTCTTTGTCTTCCACCTACAAGTCTCAACACAGTACCAAACATGTATCTGTACTATACATGCTTGTTGTTCACTTTATTCTTCCAAAGATTAATTTTCTCATTTCAAGGTGTATATGTCCAGTCCAACCTTAAACAGGCAGGTTGAGTATTTCACTTTGTTTCTAGGAAAACTTCTCAGTAGATCTCATTTTCTTAAGGCTCTTGAATAACACAATGACAATAAACTGCTAGGCTGGGAGAATATTAAACAACAACAACAACAACAACTTTTTGACCTGAAGATATTGATGCTTCTGTTTAATGTGGGTATTCATATCTATCTACTACCCAGAGGAGATGATGGTTTTTAGGAGAATTGAGAGAGCTAGATGGCAAAGCCTACCCTTATTATGATTGACAAGATGTTTATCTCCCAGAGTTTCCACCCATGAGGCAATTCTCTTATAGTCCATTGAAGAATCAATGTATTAGAAAGATCTGGATCTACTTCTAAGATCCTTAAGATAATGACATCACTTTTTCAGTGTCAGAAAGTCATCACCACAAATCCCAAGACTCACCCTAACTATATTCTGTCTTTAAATTAATCTCCAATAAAAGACAATACCAGGTGCTAGAGAACTGTAAAGACATGACCCTGGGAGACCAACTAACCACGTGTAATCATGCAAACTTCCTTTGAGTAATTTCAATGTAAAGCCTGCCCAATAAATTACACCCAAGATAGAATATTAAAGCAATCACTTAAGTCTAGTGCTTCTTGCTCACTTTAATTTTTGTCAAGAGAAAAAAAAAACCAAAACATTATTTGTGCATTTAAAGGCTCAAATAGAAAGACTGAAGTAGAATAAGAATTCAAATAACTCAGGAAATTGAAAAAAAAATAAGTTCTACAAAACATTCCATGGAGTTCAATATGAGAAAGGACAGAAATCAGCCAGCCAACCAACCTAAAAAACAAAAACCAACCAACCAACCAACTAATAAAAAGTCCTATAGCAACTCAATGCAGAGTGAGGAAGGCCAGGCCAGGGTGCTGTTTACCAGGAAATAATAGAGGGTTCCTACCTCACACAAACCTTAACTCTTCAACCATGCAACATTCCTATAAACATAGTCAGGACATAGGGTGGGGAACTCTCCTTCCATGATATTGTTTTAATCAGATACAAGGTTGCTATTGTGAGTCACAAAGATGAGGTTTCCTACCTGTTATGATTTGAAGCCCCCTGGGAAGGCAGCACTCTCCCCAATCCTCACCTCCCCTGGTCTGATGAACTGAAATGCCACCACAGCGCCTCTTGATTCTGAAAGGCTTCTCCTGTCTTCAAATGTTTCATTTAATACCTAATACACTGACCCTAGGAATGAGGTCACATTTAGAGTCATTTTAACAAACTCCTAGAAATCCTAGTGTAAATGGACTTCAATGCTGAAATTTTATCAACGTCCCCCTAGCCAAAGTCTCACTCTGTGGGGTCACCAGACTTCACATGCAATTTTGCCTCTGTACTTAGTAGTGCTTTAATAAACCATCTATTTTTACTTCAGTCACTCACTATAATCAGTATTTGATAAAAGGGAAAAAAGTCAAACTAATATTTCTCAAGAAATGAAACATCCATGTCATAGTTCTCTGAAGAGTCCCGGGTGTCCTGGGACAGTTATTGACAGTGACTCCTCTTATTTTCAAAAGTGCAGTTTTAATGGTCAAAAGGCGTACAGGTCTCTTCAGGAACTAGCCATTTCCCCCTGCCCAGGGGCCACAGCTGAGTTCTGTGTGTTCTTCTCAAGAAGTGATGTCCACAGCTTAGCAGGACATACCCACTAATATGGACCTTGGGTAGAAGTCACCTTCCCTGTGGAAAGAAGATTCCAGGCAAAAATCTGCTGGTTTGCAAAGGGCTTGAGGTTAGCAGAAAAACTTCCCCAATGTCACACTGTGAAAACGTACCTAAGCAAAATGAAGTGACCTACCTGCCACCATGAGGCGTGTGATGGCCTCATCATAGGACCTGCCTTCTTGGAAGTAACAGCGGTAGATGCCATTCTCCTGGGCTGTGATGTTGTGAATGACCAGGGCCACGCTGCCCCTGCTGATGTCTTTGCTCACAAAGGTGGTTCTTTCTCGGTACTCCTCCATCTGCTCCTCTGTTCTCTCTCTCCCACCCTTATACACGAACACTGCAGGGGAGAACTGAGACCGGAACCATCGCACCTCCATGTCCTCAGCATTTTTCTCAGGTGACAGATGGCAGTGTAATGTGATGTTTTCTCCCACCATGGCCAGGATGGGATCAGCTGGCCCCACAACAGTAAACTGGGCTGTTCAACAAAGGGGTAGAATCAGACATGGACTGCAGCCATCAAACATCTAAGCCAGGGACTAGAAAATACTTTCCAAGGCCACAGGGGTTTTCTGGGCTAAGAATTCTGGGGACCAGTAGCTGAGGCTAATCAGTAGCATCCCTGGGAGTAGTAGCTATAGAGGCTGCTACTGCTTCATGAAGGAAATTTTGAGGAACTCACACTGAGTACCCTCTATAGATCCTATGTCCCTGAGGACACTTTCCTCTATTCCCAAATCTAGCACCGTGCCTGCGTGTAATATAAACTCAGCTATCCAATAAGTTATCTCTCCACTAGCTAGTCCAATCAAAACGAGCTGTAAAAATAAAATCCACACAAGGTTTTGTTGATTTAAAATTTTTAAATGGTAAATATCTCATTGATAATATTTTGTACTAACTAAACATTTAAGTGTTAATGTGTAATTATTTCAGTGAAACAAAATACATTGTTAACATTTATTTCAGGTTTGTTTTACGTTTTAAAATAGACTAAAATTAATTTTTAAAAGTTTGTGATTGTTTCTGCTGCTTGCCTTTGTGGATCTCACTGTATTTCTTTTGTACGGCACAGGTATACATCCAGTGAGCATGCTCAAAATGAAAGGAAGTGTCAGCACCCCTATAGTCCTTCTTCCATTTTTTCTCTTTGCAGACTGAAATGTGGATGCTACTTTCTGATAGTTGATAGGAGTAGGAGGTGTACATCCCTACCTGAGGCCAGTGCAAACAGACTGAGCAGGAGGAGAAGGAAAGCTGGCAGAGAGAAGCACAGGGAAGCAGCTGGCTTCATAAGTATCACGGAAGGAGTCACGCAGGATAGGCAGGAACCAGAGGCCTAGGGATACACAGGAGGAGAATCAGCCTAGCACACTTGGCATCACAGTGCTGGTCGAGCTCAACCTTTCCTGTTACCCATATGGGTCTCATCAGCACCCCAACTTATGTCTTGGGCAGTGTTTGCTGCCCCAATGTTTCACTATCTCCCGATAGATAGATTCACTAAGTATTCCATTAAATAACCCATAAATAAAATAATCCAGCAGCAGTTTTCTGTCCTTCTCAGCTCACTTCTCTGGCCAAAGACCAGTTTCTTCAGTTGTTACTTGATATTCTTCCCCATCCTCCCTCCCTTCTCTTCTTCCTCCTCATGACCCAGGCCAGACTACCCGAGGTAAAGCCAGCATGTTGTGCTTTCCACCAGTGAGTTCCCCCTCTCACAGAGATCCCTCTCTGGTCTGAGGCAGATTCCCTTTCCCCACCTACCGTCTTTACCCAGAGCAGCACTTCCCCTCCCTTTCCTACCTTCTTGAATTACCCGCTATGTTTTCTTTTCTCTTTTGATCCTCAAATGACGATTTTCCGATCCAACCCACCCACAGCAGTCACCACCAGGGAACAAACCGTCCTGAAAGATGAAAGAAAACTTTTCTTCTTTTCCCATTGGTTGTGATGCATGGACCTGCGGGACCAGGATCTCAGATCTGGTCCCCTGGGTGTCCTCAAAGTCCCAAGATTTCCACTGAATGCTTTAGAAAACAGGATTGGCCAGCTGTGGGCCACCCAGCCTATAGTGTTCCTGAGTCTTATTTCTCACCAGTTACTAGGTAGAATACACAGAGTTAAAAAAAAAAAATGTGAAACAGCAAATAGGCTGCTAGGTCTATTTATTTCGTTTTTCTGTTCAGAAGCAAGATCAGTTTTTTCTTTTTCTTCCATTTCCCTACCCTTCCTTTTCCTGTCCTCTTTTCACCTCCTCCTCCTCCTCCTGTTTGCAAAGGCTTGAGATTTGTGGCATTGCTGTTAATTGCCAGTACTAATCTGTGTATAGAAGTGTGTATGTAGAGGTTGACTTTGCTGAGACGGAGAAGGAAGGAGGTAAACATGAGCAGCGCTCTTTTCAAGCCAGACAATTTTTATTCAAGTTTTGGAGGGTTTATTCTAGGTTTAGAGATTGGGTCAGGTGGGAAAGGGAAGTTTTGGGAAGCAGGCATGAGTGGAAAGAGAGGGAGAGAGGGAGACTTCATAATAGCTGCAGTGGCTATAATGAATGTAGCAAGAAAAATAGAGAGATCGTGACACTGAGACTATTATAGGAAGTGGCACTTATTATGCTGGTTAGCACAGCGGGCCTGAGAATTTAATGTGTTCAAATCGAGCGTCCCAGAACAGGAGACTTGGGGTCTCATACCCTTGTTTAGGTAAGGGAGGGGGGTCGTGTTGAGTGATTACATATTTTCTTTGGAATTTTACAAGGTTGTACTCAACAAAATCAGATTTTTTAAAGAACAAATGGTTTTCAGGAACTGTAGGCTTGTAAACCGTCAACTTTAGAAGGGGGGTTTTAGATAAGATTCTTTTTTTTTTTTTTAAGTTGGAGTCTCACTCT